GTGTTTAAGCCTTTTTATTATATCCTGGACATTGAGTTCTACCTGGATTCTATCCTCTTGGAATTTTTTATTCAAAAAATATACATGTATATGTATGCACCTATGTATATATATTTATATATTTTGCATATGTATGTGTATATTTACCAATAATATTATCTATCTATCTATCTATCTATCTATCTATAAGGATACATATATATATGTGTGCATGATTATGTGTGTGTGGAAGGTGAAAAATCAAAAAGACAAAACGAAGACATATTCTAAATGCCTCATTTAATATATCTAATGTTAGTATATCGAAAGAAACACGAACATTTTTTTAAAAATTCAATGTTGAATTTTATGAGCAAAATACAGATCAATACAAATGTATGCATAAATAATGATAAGAATACATAAAAGGTAAATGCACAGATATAAAAACATCACTTCTTTTTTTTTCGAAAAGAAGAAAAAAAAATGTTTTAGAGTTCAACTTATCGAACATTCTGTTTCCTGCTTTTATGTTGAGCGTATAATTGTGCACAAAAATTTGAATACAAAAATAAAACATCTTAAAATATAAAATGTTGTCCAGTTCTCACTATTCTTTAGTAACTTAAAAAAAAGAAGCTTTTATGAATATCTAGAAACTTTTATATTACTGATTCTTTACATTTGTTCTTATATTTCTAACCTCGTTCTCGATTTCAGTCGTTCGCATTTTACGCTTCCCTATAATTACCATTAGGTGAAACATCAACGGACTTTGTCATTATCCATTTCTCACTGGCCCGCGAAAATCTTTATGAATTATCTTCTGCGTAGTGAACTGTCTGCGTTTATACATACATGGGTTGATCAAACACATGTACATACATATAAGGATTTAAATTCCTGTAGGCTTCTTTCGGTCTTCTGCTAATATAAAAACACGGACAATAGTTAGCTTAATAATATATTGCAGAATTATATATTTTTAGCTGGTAATTGTTACCTTTCCTTTCTTTTTTTGGGTTAATCCCAATTCTGCTACAAGAAACTTACTGTTATTAAGTCCAATAAATTAAGTATGTAAAAAGATACGGTTTTATTTTATGGCCTACAGGCATTGACAGCGAGGATAAATGCTGGAATATGCATTTAGATTTATTCAAGAACGATCATCAGCCTTTTACATTCTTTACGATTTGAACAAGGATTTTGGCGGTTATTTCCTCCTTTTTTTGCTGTTGCTTGGTTCTATTTCTATCTAGTTTTCTTTCTTTCTTTTGGTTCTCAAAGCTATTAACGCTAATATTATATTTTGCTTGTGCCTAACGCGTTGTTATACAACCGGAACTCCTATATGGCAAGTGGCACGGTACCCATGTCATTTGATTTGAACATCAGGCGCAAAAATATTATTAGACACACCTGAAGATCTATCACTGTTTTTCTCTTGGCAATAAGAAAAACAGATTGCCGATGTGCACGATAAAATATAGTTTGAAAGTATGCTATATTTATGGGTTAAAAAGATATAGCGCTTGTAAATATAGAGATTTTCCAAGCTTAACTTAAATGTGGCACAAGGTCGAAAGTATGGGGCACCCAGTGAGGATCAAACTCACTACTAAGTCGTAATTGTTCGTAGTAAGACAAGCTTGCTAACCGTTACACCGCCTCGAAGTGCCCAAGTGCACGTAAATATAAAAGTGGAGAGAGGTGACAATCTGTCTCATGCTAAACGCAATCGTCAGGCTGACCTGACCTGGTGGATTTTTAGGATTCTCTCTCTCTCTCTCTCTCTCTCTCTCTCTATATATATATATATATATATATATATATATATATATATGTATGTGTATGTGTATATATGTGTGTGTGTGTGCGTATGTGTGTGTAAGCATTTGTAATTCAGTGAACTACTGCTGAAAAGATCAATTATTTTTTACAAATATTTATTTTTAACAGAGTTGCATTTCTTCTCAGTGAAATTAATTTAACGTTTTTCCATTAATCACATATAGTGAACATCATGCAGTGAAAATTTCAGATAAAACCTCAGTGAAAAACTGTATCTGGCAACGAACTTATTGATCCATCATCCTGCATCCAATAAATTGGAGTTACTATTTGCACATTAAATATTGATGGTTAAAAGAATGGCAAAACGGGAGAAGTTCTTTTACCTACCCTTTGTCTGATATATAGAGTTTGTCAATTTCAAACATGAAAAGCTTAACAATCAAACAACATGTTAAAGTTATCGAAGCCTATTACGAAAATGGACGTTCAAATTTATAAATATATGTCCCAATGATTCTGCTAGCCAAAACTGTACACCAAACAGTGAACTTTTGTGGATGCAGTGGCATTTCAAGAATCTTCCTTGGATTTTCATCAGCCTAAATGCGACAATTCTGCTTATTAACGAATCCACCAAAAGGAAAATGGACTTCATCACTAAAGAGTTTTTTTTGCGAAGAATCTTCATCGACTTGTCTTTGCTCGTGCAGCCAATTGACGAATGTACAGTGAACCAAATGGTCAGCAGTTTTCAGTTCTTTCAGTCAACTGAATTTTGTAAGCGAGTAGAGACAAATTTTTTGTCAAAATTCGATGTAACGTTGTGAATGGGTTCAATATCTGCGCACGATGACAAATAGAGGAGTTTGGATTTTCGGCCACATTCTCGTGCACTGCAGCAATGTTTTCAGCTGGAAGGCGTAAACGAGCACGCAATAGTGTTTTCACATCTGCCACCGACCCAGTTTGAATTTACGAACAATTTCCAATTACACTCTTGAAACTTTAACACGTTGTTGAATTGTCAATATTTCCAAGGTTGAAATTGCCAAAGACTTAAGCTGTTAAATCTAAAAGAAAAAGAAAAAAAATCATTAGATGCTTAAACTTAATTCACATTTAAAATCGGTCCAAGTTATTGGAACAAGATTTATATCATATTCTGTCTACCACATTACGATTTCTGCTTCATTCATTTAACCTTTTTTCAAACATTTCTTCTATTATGCTATCGACATCCACTAAATAATATAGAATGATTTTCTAAAAGTTATTTCTATCATTTATTTGTTGGCAGTAAATTAAATAAAATCAACATGTTTTTTGTGAACATATCGGAATTAATTTAACATAGAAGGTAAGAAAAAGTAGCTTCATACAGAAAGTAACTGCACCATTTGCATAGATTAAAAAATGGTATAAAATGAGAGTTCAGCAGCCGTTATCATTTAGCTGCGACAAAAGCTCAGAGCAGTAATGCTTGGGTGGGAAAAAAACTATTTCTTCTACCGTGTTTCTTCCTAATAAAATACTGAATTAATTAACTTTTGCGTAATTAATCGCTTAAGGCTTCACATTGGGGGATTCTTAATTTGAAATGATCCTGTCCATTGTAGAAAAAAATTGGAATGTGTCTGCATATTTTTCTGTTGTTCAGTGTTTGCTTGTGTTGTTGATTTTATTTCGGAATTAGCCTTGAGCAAGTCGATGTTATAATCAGTTGATTTTAGGGTAGCAAACACTGGGTGCGAAATTTCTTTTTACAAATCCAGAAGTTACATTATTCTCTATGGACCGCGAGCTTGTTTCAGCATCCTACTTTTTCACAGAGAGGAGAGAAATAAAGAAGGAGAGTGATAAAAACAGGTGTTGGCTTATTTGTTTGTTTGAGAGAGAGAGAGAGAGAGAGAGAGAGAAATTTATATAGAAAGAGAAAAGAAAAGAAGGGTAGAGATAGAAAATAAGTGAGAGGGAGACAGGAGGAGGAGAAGAAAAAAGGGAAATAGAGAGTGTGAGATGCAGTAATATATATATATATATATATATGTAATTATTTATTTAAAAATATTATTCCAACGCTACATAAAAGTTCTCCTGTTTCAAAACAAGAGCCGAAAACTTCGATATAATTATTTGAATTAAAGTACCAAGCTCTGTTCCATCTTCAAGAGAGAGAGAGAGAGAGAGAGAGAGAGAGAGAGAGTATACAGAGGGAGAGGGAGAGAAGAAAATAGAGAGAGATAAAGAGAGACATGGAGAGAGAATTTCATATACAAAAAGAGAGGAAAAATAAGGGTAGAGATGAAGAATGACAGAGAAAGGGTGAAATACAATAATATATATACAGTAAGAGAGAAAGATAGATAGATAGATAGATAGATAGAGAGAGAGAGAGAGAGAGAGCGAGTAGGGAATCATTGAAAAAATCTTTTGAAACTGCTGATTGCTTTTAGCGTTAGAACCATCCCTAATCCTAACCCAACGCAAGGTTTTATCGGAAATCGTAAGGGAAACGAATTATTCTGTATCCAATCTGACAAGAACACGTCTGTCACACGGAAAATTTTAACCTGGAAGTTAAAATTCCCCTCCATTTCTATCCCTGTTTATCCTTCACGCACAGAAGAAAATCCACTCACTCAAATCGGACACTTTTTTTTCCGGAAAGCATTTCCGATATTACGAACACACCAAAAATCGACAATCGTTGTGCCGACATCTTTCGTGAAAAGGATTCTATCCAAAATGCTGTCGTGCAATGTCTTATGGCACATTCTGTTATCTGGTATTCTTGCGAAACAAAAAAATGTAACCTGTCAATTATAACGTATTATAATATGTATATGCATGTGTTTAAGAATATATATATATATATATATATATATATATATATATATATATATATATATATATATATATATATATGCGTGTGTGTGTGTGTAGTGTGCGCGATATGAGTGATTGATTTTGCTTTTTTACAACTTATGAACCTTTTGTAGATTATTTAAAGTTGGAAAATGTTTTTACATTGTAAAAATATTTTGGACATGATACTGATTTACTGACAAGTCCTACCAATTAACCCATTGCTAGGGTAAGAAGAGTTGGACCCATACGTTTTATAAGAATATTTACGTGTAAGTAAATATAATGAACCTGACCAGAATTGGAACATGGTTCTTCGATCTCCAATTCTGAGTCGTTATCCATTACGCACCTCCCAGCTTACAGCACCTGATATTTCCAACTGGTCACCCATCTAGGTACTGACCAGGCTCGACGTTACTTAACTAACTTCGATGATTGTATGAGAACCGGTGTTTCAATGAAATATGGCTGCAAGCTGTGCACAAGTGTTCGCCCGTGCGTGTATGTATGTGTGCTGCGCCCGTACGTGTGTGTGTGTGTGTGTGTGTGTTGTGGATTCCGGGTTGAAATCCGGTACCAATAAATAACAAACGCCAGGAATGAATATAGGAAAATAATGTATTAACGTAATAATACAAACTGGTAATGCAGGTTAGTAGTTCCAGGAATACGGGTTAGTAGCAAAATATATATACAGTCTTTGGTATTGCAGTATCGCTGTATGACTTCTTACTGAGTCTACGTGCTTGCTAACAGTGACTCCTACAACGCTGTTACCTCACCCTCACTCTTTCGGTTACCTACAACCTTTTACTCTGTCACTCTGGACTCGACTCGACTTAGTCTTGCTTTGTCGGGTATTCACTGGCAGTAGTATAAGTATACACTGGGTGAGTCCATTTGTATCAAAAGGGGTGGACCCCTCAACAGTGTGTGAGTGTGCGTGTTTATGTGTGCGTTTATGTGTGTGTTTGTGTGTGTGTAACGCATTTCGAACTGTGATAATACAACTGTTCAGATGAGAATTAATTATTGTGGTGAAGGCTTGTATGAAACCAGACAGGCGTTTTGGAAGTACTGATAACGGAAAAATGGTGCACAATGTGCCTTAACATTCAGGCACGGTCTTCTTTATATTTTATTGTGAAATATTGTCATAACCTAAGGATACTTCATGTACTTAACTATGCTTTCCCGGAAATCATGTTTTTTAGTTTTTCTAAGAAAACTCAACACATATCTAATAGGGAATGTACGGCCTCGTTGATATATATAGCACTTGATCAAATACATTAGGGTTACTATTTGTACAGTACTATTTCATTAGTAGAATGACAAAATGTAAAAAAAAAAAATAAAAATTACCCACCCTTTGTAATTATACAGGGTTCGGCAGAAATACCGCGCGCATTTTAAAAGTTGACAAAAAGACCAATGTAACTGCTATTAAAAATATATAGTTCACTGTTGTTTAAACACAGGGCTACAGTTTTGATTCATTTTGTTTTAAAAAATGACATCCTTCAAATGGTGGCCTCAATTCGCCATACATTGTTGTAGACGATTCTTAAAGTTTTTCATCAGCTAATACATTTTCTGGAGTGAGAGCGCTTCGAGATCTTTCAGGTGGCTTCCTTTTAAGCGCTAAACCTGTGTCCCTAAAATGATCAAACCATAACAATATCAATTTTCTATCCGGAACAGCATCATTCAGACGTAATATGATATGAGCACGAAAAGATCACGGTGTTAGATTTACACGTCTAAAAAAATGTTTCTAAAGCAAAAGCACAGTATTCGCCGGTTCGTGATGGTAACTCTTCGGATCTGAAAGAAAAATATAAGTTATTAGCTAGAGAAAGACACCATTGTCACTTGCTTAAGTTTGCTAGCATCACACAGATGACAGTTTAAAGTGGGAGAAGTATTTCTCCCGCACTCCGTATATTAAACAAATGCTGAGTAACAGAAATGAGATATAGACTCTATATATCTACATACAGTAAATAATATAGAAGGATTTTTAAAAAGGTTTTCTGGCTCATGGCCATATCACGTTTAAACTCCGGTTCCCGAATGATCAGCAAAATTAAGCAACGTACTTAGATGGGTAACCGCTTGGGAATATCAGGTTCTGTAAACTTGGATTTGAGGGTGGTGTAATGGATAATGGCTCGGAATTGTTAATCAGAGATCCGAGTTTTAATTCCAGTTGCAATCGTTATTTTTATTTACACGCAAATACCTTCCTTCTCCCCACTCCTGCTATTGGTTAATTATTAAGACTTGTATCACTAAAACAATTATTATCTCCAAAACAAATAAAATAAAACTGCGTACAAAATATTTAGATTTCAGCATTAAATAACACATAGAGGTGTTGCTATGCCACTAAACAAAAACAATCAACTAATTATAGTTTTCTTCTATTACAATATCTACATATACTACATTATATAGAAGAATATATACGCTATATCTATAGGCACTAAATTATGTAGAAGGCTCTCTTGCCTATAAGTCAAGAGAGTCAATTCTTACCTGCTATTTAACCATAGTGGGGGGAAGCTGGATTCATGCCTTTTCCAAAAATATTACCGCAAAGTAACCAAAACAGGATTGACATGAATTTGAACTCAGTTCTACGATTCCAACTTTCCCCTCGATGACTGTAATGCATTTAACTATCTAACTTTTAATATCCAATCTTTATATCTGTCTCCAGTCTTTTTCTTTGTCGTCCTGGGTATGACGATAAACTACATCCGACAGCAAGGCCTCTGTCAGGAGGTTTTTTTTAATTGCTGGTGTTCCCAGGTTCATTCTGTTCTGGGGTGGTAGCACCTGTTAGGGTCCCAGCTTCGTGCAAATAGTTAACCTCACAAGCTGCGGTTAAAACACTAGGAAAATGAAAAAAATAGATTTTAATACCAGAAATACTTTGTAAAAATTATTACCGGCAATACATCTTTGAAAACAAAAGATATTACAAGCTATACATTTTTGAAACAAATATTGCCAACAACAGATTTTTAAAGGGAAAAAATATTACCAGTAATAGATTTTTGAAGAAAAAATTATTACCAGAAATAAAAATTTTGTCGGCATTAAATAACCCATCGAGGTTGATATACCGTAAAAACAAACCAAACCAAATCAAACCAATTTTTTCTTTCTTTGGTTCTTTTTAAAAGAAAATCTGTATGACCCAGTTTATGTTTTTTGCGAATGTTTTATTTTGTACATATTTTTAAGCATATTCGAGAATTCATAATGAGATTTAAGTTACTGATTTGAATATAAGATCCTTGTTCATATTTTCAGTATAACTTGGAAAATTTTGATACTCTAATCTTGATGACAGCTGAAGAAACTGCTGACAGCACTCATCTCATGGGAGAAATCCATTACCACCTTACGGAAACCATATATGCTTGAGAAAGATTTTCGCTATCACTGGTTTTTGGTCTGTGCGTGTGTAATTTTCAGACAGGCACTCCATAAAGCAACAAGGATCAATGTATTTCCTTCACCTTCATTAATCTGCAATCTGTGGCCGTTGGCTTGTACTTGGTAGGAAAGCCTCTGTTCACATCACGCATCGATAATGGTTCGCTGACTAATGTCTTCTCAGAGGTTGGTAATTTTTCTCTTCTAGGATCACTACAGAGAGATCCACATTGCAACGCGAATACCTCAGAAGCTGTAGTTACCTAAATTCTTTGACTTAGTCTTCTGTTCATAAGTATTCGATCACTGTTAAAGTCACTCAGATCTTTCTTCTTGCCAATAAATTGCTGTATTCAAAACGCCCCCCGCCTACAAAAAACCCTCCATTTACCTCCATTAGGTGACGATTATTTTAACAAAATGAGAAATTTTGTTGTATGGCTTATACGTATTCTGTATTTACAGACCGCAACACCTATTAGGTACTGACACTGACACATATACATATATATATATATATATATATATATATATATATATATATATATATATATATATATATATATATATATATATATATATATATATATATATATATATATATATAAAAGAAAAATATACTGAAAAAACAAAAAAAATCCTAATATGAAAATTATGCTGTTTTAATGTTTAATGTCAACGTCGGACGTTTCGGTCTAATGGACCATCTTCAGGACATATTCATAAAACATAATTAAGATGGACCATATACAATTCAACATAGAAAAAAGACGTGGACATTACCCAATACCAAGGGCATATTGTATGCATATTAGGGATTTTTGTTTGTTATTTTTCAGTATATTTTTCTTCATATAATCGGATCTATATCCATATATCTGCTTATATATATATATATAAACACACACACACACACACACACACACACACACACACACACACACACACACACACACACATATATATATATATATATATATATATATATATATATATATACATTCATTTATATATATATAAGTATATGTATCCATACATAAAATATATAAATGTATATATACATACATAGATATACAGGTATATATATATATATATACACATATGTATATACACGTATATATACATACATACATATATATATATATATATATATATATATATATATATATATATATATATATATACAAGTAAATCTATATACATACATACATAGATACATATATATATACACGTATATTTATACATACATATATACACGCAGATATATATATAGATACATATATACACGCATGTATATATACATACATATATACACATATATATATGCATATATACAAATATATATATATATATGTATATATACATGTATATATACATACATATGTACATATATATATACATATATATACATTCATATATATACAAGTATATATATACATACATACATTTATATATTTACATGTATATATACATACACACATATAAACACGTATATATATACATACATATATATATATACATATATATACATACATATATATACAAGTATATATATACATACGCATATATATATATACATTTATATATTCATACATACATAAATATATACAAGTATACATATACATATATATATACGTATATATATACATATCTATACACGTAGATATATATATACATACATATCTATACACGTAGATATATATATATACATACATATCTATACACGTAGATATATATATATACATACATATATACATATATATACACATATATGTATGTATATATATATGTATGTATATATACATCTATACATATATGCATAAATATACATACATATATATATATACATGTATATATACATACATATGTAATGTATATACTTACATATGTACATATATATACATATATATGTATATACATGTATATATATACATATGTATACATATATATATACACACATATATATACATGTATATACATAAATATATATATATATATATATATATACAAGTATAGATATACAT